AATCATAACTTCCAAAGAGAATAGCTTAGCTGCCAAGGTTGATCATCCTGAGGCTGAACAGACTAATGAGCAACCAGGAAAAGGCTTATTTTCTATGTTTAGTGGCTCCACTGTAACCCCACAGCAGACATCCTCCCAAAGTGGAATATCCATACTTGGTGGCATTCTTCCTGACTCATCTACCAAAAATACTCCTGGCATAGGGTTACTCTCAATGCTTGGGGGGTCAAATGCCCCATCTTCACCTGAATCCAAAGACCCACCACCCCTGTCAACCCCACAAGATACCCAGGGGAAAGGTTTATTCTCTATGTTTGGTGGATCCAGTAGTCAGCCACCATCTGCCCCAAGAGGTCCAACTGGTGTAAGTGTGCGACCTAGAGGTCCCCCACCCAAAGAACCTCCAGGCAAAGGACTGTTTTCCATGTTTGGTGCATCTGCACCCCAGCAACCACCCAGTCCCAGAGGTCATCCTGGGGATAATGCCACACCAAGAGGACCTTCCACTGGCTCTTCTATATTTGGTGGCATTCTCCCAGGTTCTACTACACATAAAGAAACCCCTGGATCAGGTTTGTTTTCCAAGTTTGGAGGTCTTAGTGCCCAGCCCCAAACTGGACCTAGAGTAACCCCAACAGGACCCAGAAGTTCAGAGCCCCCAGGAAAAGGACTGTTCACTATGTTTGGTGTACAAAACCAACAAGCATCAGAAGCACATCCTGCAGCTTCTAAACCACCTGAATCAGAGGGTGTTTTCAAAGTTTCCTCTGTGTTTTCACTTGGCGGAAGTTCAGATGGTAACAAATCTAAAACTGGGTTTGGCCTGTTTGGAATGTCTTTCATTGGGGAAACCAAGACAGAGCAAGAAATAATTGTTCCTGTGAAGGAGGAGATTGCCTTGGAACAAGTGAAACCTCCAGACACAAACAATTTTTCAAATAAAGCAACGGATTGCCTTGTTGAGGCCAAGAAAAATGTACCCTCTGGGCCTCCTTCTACATCATCAGTTAAGTCGGAACTCGAAGTAGAACGGGCATGCCAAGATGATCAAGATTCAACCTTGGACCCCACTGTTTCCAGAACAGATTCACATGCCTCAGATGTGGTTGAAGCTTCTATTACAGACAAAACAAATGTGAACAGTAATCTACCAGATGAAGAGACACTACTGGACCAACAGTCAGATATCCAAAAAGAATATAAAGAAATGAAAGATACAGTGGATACTGAAAAGCAAGTTGCTGAATCAGAAACAGATAATTTTGAAATTAACATCACATGTGACAAAACTGACATTGCTGCGATCAGAAGTCCATCTGAAAAAATTGACGAGTTGCAGATGCCAAAAAGTGTAATGGATTATACTGACAAAAACACAAGATCAGATATGGATGGATTGGGAGATGTGAAAGCTGTTGCTGAAGGAGAGATGACAGTTCCAAAGGTAGATATACAAATTGAGGAACCTCTGAAACGTGCTGGTGAAGAGCAAACAGCAGTTGCAGTTGTGGATAAAATAGCAAAGGAACCTCAGAAAGTTGTTGGTGACGAACGAGCAGTTATTGCAGATGTGGAAAAATCTACTGAGGAGCCTGCTGATGTTGCTGGTGAAGAACAAACAGCAGTAACCCATACAGAAAAATTAACAAAGGAATGTTTGAAAGTTGTTGGTGATGAACAAGCAGCTATTGCAGATGTGGAAAAATCTACTGAAGAGCATGCTGATGTTACTGGTGAAGAACAAACAGCAGTAACCGATACGGAAAAATTAACAAAGGAATGTTTGAAAGTTGTTGGTGACAAACAAGCAGCTATTGCAGATGTGGAAAAATCTACTGAAGAGCATGCTGATGTTACTGGTGAAGAACAAACAGCAGTAACCGATACGGAAAAATTAACAAAGGAATGTTTGAAAGTTGTTGGTGACGAACAAGCAGCTATTGCAGATGTGGAAAAATCTACTGAAGAGCCTGCTGATGTTCCTGGTGACAAACAAGCAGCTATTGCAGATGTGGAAAAATCTACTGAAGAGCCTGTTGATGTTGCTGGTGAAGAACAAACAGCAGTAACAGATGTGGAAAAATTAACAAAGGAACGTTTGAAAGTTGTTGGTGATGAACAAGCAGCTATTGGAGATGTGGAAAAATCTACCGAAGAGATACCTGTAGCTGATTCAGAGATAGCCGTTACAGAGAAAGCTACTGCAGCATCCATTGTGAGTGCAGTCACAACAGACATTGCAGTTTCAGAATCAGAAAAATCTGTTAAAGAGGAATTGAGAGCCACATCTGATGAGACTGCAAATGAACCAAGTGAGGCTAAATTAGAGCTTGGAGAAGCTTGTAAAGAACCTACACAGGGATTAGAGAAACCTTTTGAAAGTAATAAGTCTGTTGCAGTGGTCTCATCATCAGATGAAGAAAAAACTGATTGTACCATCTCATCAGAAAACATGACAGCTCAAGCTGTGGGACCTGCTAGTCCACCACCACAGAACCAGCCCAGGCCAGACATGACCAGGCCGCCTGGCCCACCAGGACAAAGAATGGGAGCACCAAGGATGGGAGGGCCACAGATGGGGGGACCAAGAATGGCTGGACCAAGAATGGCTGGACCAAGAATGGCTGGACCAAGAATGGCTGGACCAAGAATGGCTGGACCAAGACAGCCAGGACCACAGAAGCCCCCTGACTCAGCTCCATTTTCTGGCTTTATGTCTATGTTTTCTACCCCAAATACTCCAAATAAATCACCAACTGTTGGTGGATTTTTTTCAAGTTCACCTGGTTCACTTTTTGGATCATCACCTGCTCCTCGCCAGACACAACAACAAAAACAACAACAGCAGCAACAACAGAAAAGCTCATTTTTTGGACTTCCAAGTAGTATTGCTACAGAATCCCTTACCAGTGACATATTTGGTATATTCAAAGGTCCTGAAACAACAAAATCTGAGGAACATCAACAGTCTGGCACAGAACCTTCTGCAATTGCAGTCTCTGATAGCACTGAAAAGACAGGCACAGAGATAAAACCTCTATCTGGAGATGGACATGTTAAAAGCACTGAGGACTCTGAGGTCCCTGAAAAAGGATTAGTGGAGGAGGCAGAACGAACAGACAAAACAGAAGCAGAAGAAAGTTCTCTGACTGAATCCACCATGAAAACTGCTATCCCTGAGAAAATAACAGGGGATGATGAGCATTCTGAGAATTTAGAGGGACCAGGTTCTGTAGTGTCTGACAAAGCTGCACCGCCACCAGCTCCTGAAACCAAGGGCATGTTTGAAATACCAGGTCTGTCAGCCCCTAAACTTGGCTTTATGTCTGTAGCGGCGGAAGGCACATCTTCTATTGGATCCCTTTTCTCCACCACTCCATCTCCCGCCACTGGTGCGAAGACTCCTCAGTCACAACAGACAGATGGTGGTCTCTTTTCTGGTTTTAAAAGCTTTTCAGCTGGCATTTTCCAGGATGAAAAGCCACCTGGGAAGGAAGAATCATCATCTGTTTCATCTGTGTTTGGCATGAAACTTGGCTCAATGTTCGGGAACTCTGACCCTCTCGATGGTGTATCCACTCCTCCTGTAGTCACAACCCAACCTCAGTCCCAAAGTCCAAAAAGCACAGATGAGTTTTGTGAGCCAGAGTGTGAAAAACTTTCCCCAGGTTCTGGAGAAACTGAAAGTGCAGATGCCAGTGATACAGAAGGACCAACAGAAACTTCCAAAACTGGAAGCTGTGACACTTTGGCACAGTCACCACAGTCTGGCTTCCCCTCTCACTCCGCTTCCCAAGCAGAAGGTTTGGATAAACCCCAGTTAAAGATCACGGCATTTGAGGTAGATAGGAGTGTAGCTGACACACCAGACATCGTGCATGCAGATTTGGACACAGAGCAACCAAAGGACTTGCTGACAATGGAGACTGCGAAAAGGCTAGTACAATTTGTATGATAAATGGCATTGTTCATTTATCATGGTAATGTAGACAAATGTATAGCCCCTATTCCTTCTCTTCTTTTCCCATTTACATTTTGGACCACATTTGACATCACTATCTGTGTATTCACATTTTTTCCTTGCACATCCCACAACTTAAACTTTAAAATCCAATGCTTTTTTTAAATTATGTTCAACCAAATTAATTTTTGTTTAGAATATAATGCATATCCACGTCACAGCCATAAATACAAACCATTTCATGAAAATCTGATATCGTAAGTTTCATCATCAAAGCCAAAGAAAAGGAAATTATTACATCTGCTTGAAAGGTGCTCACACTTGGGTAAATGTACTAGAGCTATTTTGTACTTACAGCATCTCAGTAATAGCTTTCCTGACAGTGATGAAAGTGCAAGGACTAAAGAAACCGATGGTCTTTATTTATTAGCTTTTCAATTGTCGGGCGTGTATAAAGCCCCTCCTTTCTCTGTGCCCCGCAGTTCACTGAATTATTCTCCAAGCCTCAGCCAATTTGTTTATATAAATCAAACTCTGATAGATTTATGATGGTGTGGCAGTGCACACCATTGAGTCAAGCTGGACACTGGAATAAAAGGAACAGTGAGAAGTAATTTGGCCTACACCCAAGACAAAGTAAATCATGCCAGTTAAAGAAAAGAGCCAATTTCCTTGTTAGCAATCTCAATCATCCATACAGTGCTCTCCTACTCAGTCAACCACTTACGCCTTTTATCAGGCAGGTTAAATGTATCCCCATTGCTTTAACATAGTTTTTAACATTGTAGTTTCAATCTTTTTTAATATATTAATTGAATTGTTTTTATTCCAAAATCAGCGTCCGCCATTCAAAGTTGAATCTCAAAGTTGTGCATTTTCTTCTTTAACAATTTTCAGGTTATCTATGTTTTGAAAATAAAGTGGTTATTTCCTTAGTACTGAATTTTGGAATAAAACCTTTTAATTCTACAGTAGATCTTTAGTTACATGTGGCTCTCCCAAATCACCACCATATTCTAAATAACTCTTTCTCCTACAGTCCACCGGACAGCAGTCGCTTTGATTCATCAGGCAACCTCAGCCCAGCCAGCTCCCAGCTCAGCTCTGAGCCTGAGGAGCGCCGAGATCCCAGCGGGCCCCGTCCCCCTCTCAACAGTCAGCCATCTACCTGGGACGAGGAAGAAGAGCAGGAGGAAGAGGTTGCTAAAGAGCTTCATCCACTACCAGAGTCTGGTTCCAACAAAGATTTGAAGGACTCTTCAGTCATCCTGCCTAAGACATCATTGGACAACCAAGAAAACAAGACTCAGACCAAAATGTGGTAAGTAAAAAATGTCAACACCTGCTTGATTAAGTCTATCAGTAATTAAGTCTGGAGCTGTGTCAGCTTGGTTTTGTATTCCAATTAACACAATGTTGAGAGTTAGCTGGTGGTAAGACAGTGAGTGATTACATTCTAATTGGTACACTAGTAACTCCTACTTGAAGCAGGGGCGCCTTGGGGAGAAGCCATTTGGTGAAAAGCAACAACTGAGGACTCTGTGTGTATCACACGAGAGAAAGAGAGTTGTTAGGTAGCACTGACCATAGTTCAGAGGCCTGTACCTCCTGCTTAGCGAGGTAACTTAAGAATTAACCCTGGGTTTTCAGTACCACAGTGATGGTTCACTTATTACCTGGTTAGATCTCCACGGTAACTTATGCTGAACAGCTACCCAGCATCAGAGCAGGTTATGTTCGAGATAAGCGATCAGCTCTATAAAGCACTGCCTACAGACCAATCAGCTCTCTTGGAAAATGACATCACCATCTGTAGGAGATCCCACAGACTGTTTAATAGGCTGCTTTTATGTTTGCTGTGGTGATGCGTAGATGCTTTTGTATAGCGATATCATCCTACAGAGGATGGTTGAAGTAGACTAAGTCTATTTCATCCCAAGTCTATTTCACACAGCCTGTTGCAGCCGTTAAAATAAATGGGTTTCATTTTTCTTATATCAGGCTTCTGAGCATATTGTTTGGTGGGCCTTTTGATATTAATTTTAATATGAATGTGTTTATTTTAGGTTAGTAGTTATCTTGTATTATAGAGACTGGCCATGTACCACTCCACCTTTCACTATTTGGGTAATGTATTTTCAGTAGCCTAAATGTTGAGATTCAGTCTTTCGACCTCTAATTGAGCACCTTTTATGGCATGAATAGATTGTTCGTTTTTTTTATGTTAAGTTAATTTAGGACAATTTTTGGAACATATTTGAGCACTATAAATATATTAATCTGATGTTTGAAGTGACGACAAGTTAAATGGTCATTTCAAGTGAGTTGAAACGACCACTTATTCAGTGCCCAAGTCTTTTAATGTGGAAACGCTGAAACTCAGCCGAGGTGAAAGAATAAGGCTACAATTGTCACATACATGCCATAAAAAGCTGTGTTACTTACTAATATCACAGTTTTCTCTTCGTTTGTAAAATATGCCGCTCTGCTGCCAGTAGACTCCATGTTTGCGATTGATCATCTGCTGCTAACACCGCCTCTTTTATGTGAACAAGCTCATTGCTGGATTGGGAAATCGGCTTTGTGTGACCACTTATCACGATTGCGATTTATGAGGGTTAGTGAAGCCAGATAACGAAAAGATATCCTGGCATAGTTGTACTTGCTTTGCTGTACAGGCCAAAGGTGAACTGGCAACTCCAAATTTGGAAGATAAAACCAAGAATGAGGGCAGATTTTGTTTCCCCCGTCACTTCCACTGGAAGCATGTTGTGATTATAGCAAGTAAACACAGTTTCAATCTTCATTAAGGCATCAATGTGTTTTAAGGCAGACATGAAAACATTTGAACCTATCTTTTGACTGATTCAGGGATTGATTTAATTTTGATATTGATTCATGTCTGCCATCTTCATAAGAAATTTTTCCCTTTTAAACCTGTGGATCTTTTTGCTTTGTCTTTCTCAGCTTCTTTGAAGATGGCCCTCCACCCTGCTCTCCATCCAAAGTTCGCTGGCTGAAAGCATACAACAAAGTGAGAGTACAGCTCCTCGAGGTAGAAAGACTCACTTTCTCTGACCACCCCAACTACTTTCTCTTTGTCTTTTTCCTTTTCATACACAATCATACACACTCATACCTGTATAGCTTGTATTTGTCTGTATTTAACTAACAGGCATCCAAATCAAATGCCTGTTACAGATTTTAACTGTATTTATCTAATCATGAAAGTCCAGTCCTGAAGCACAAGGAAATTATATCAAATCAGTAAAATCACATACATAGATTCCGATATACAGTATAGGCACATAAACATTGCCCTATTTCTCTCTCTCTCTTTCTCTCTCCTTCTCTCTTATGCTCTCTCTCTCTCTCTCTTTCTCCCCTCTCTCATGCAATGATATTTTCTCTCGTCTTTCCCCTATGGGTTGGTTGAGTTTCCAGTCATGCCACAGCAATTTGCAACAATTTTGTGCTCCTTAAGTATTTTCTCTTTGATCTGGAAAACCCCTTTTCAGCATGGATTTCTTCAGATCCGGCTATCACTCCGCTGTTTCTGGAAAGTTTTTAGTTCCAAGATATGGTAGTGTGAGTTAAACCAATTCCTGAGATTATAGTACCAACCACCTGGGGGTGGTTTACAGTTAACTGTGGTGTTGGGGTATGTGTAAGTATTAAGTAAGTAAATTTTATCCCAAGGACATAAAGGGAAACCAGGATATAAAACCTTGCATACACATATCTGGGAACACTCATAAAGTTGTTTCTTACTTGATTTACGTTCATGTCATAACTGAAACATGCATAACTGCCACTCTTACCTTAATTTTAACCTAGTAATCCTTTAATCCTAAAACCAAGTCCTAGTCGTAAAATAGATGGTTTGTGGTGACTAGCATTTTGTCCCCAGATGGGAAATGACTTGTCACAGTGTGATTAGTATACATGCACACGCACACACACACATACACGACTACATGTCAGGCTTTGATTGCATCTTGTTCGAATACCAAGAGTTATCCAATTCTGTTTGCTCTCCTTGGTGTGATTGGTCTATCTATTTATCTCTGATTAACTTTGAGCCCAGAGCTGTGTCTCCTTGTTTTCCATCACTTCCAGACTGCTTTTTCACACGTAAAAATCCACTCTCATGTCCATTAATTTAAAATTAGAATCTGTTGCGATGGGCTTTTAAACATCTTATCTGTTTCTCGGGGAGTAGAAGGAAACAAATGAAGCACTCAGAGGAATTAAATCTCAAGAGTGGCTGGCAGTAGTGAGACTGCTGACTTAGAAACATGAACTGACAAATGCCACAAACTTAATTCTGTTGGGCTACCAATGAATAGAGGGGCAATGGGTTCATGAACCCGTGTTGACAAGCATCCACCTTACTAAAGTGTCCTTGAGCAAGACATCAGATTCCCCGTTGTTTAGTAGTTGAACCTGTAATCTCACCGACCTGCTTAAACAGTAAACCTGGTGGGCTCTGTTGGTCTGTCATGAATCCCATCCCTCTTTTTTAAACAATCCTTTTCAAGAGGCAAATATCAGGGCACCTCAGAAAAGCAACTGCCCTGTTATGAGACAGACTCAAGCGTTTTGAGTCTGGTCAAGAACACAGAAATGACAGTGTGAAGAAGGAGCTATCAAGGTACCTGTTTGACGGGGTTTGGAACAACAGTGAAATTACCACTGTAGGGCCAATAGAAGTGCAGTTGCAGTTGTTGAAATGTAACTATTACACCTACTAGGGTATATTTACTAAGAATTATATGGGCACTAAAAAGTCAATTAGCTGTTGTATATGGCAGAAACGCTGCAATAACATATATTTTAGGTTGGTCCCAATATGCAAGAAGTAAATGGAAAGTCACACAAATAGCAGCTGAAATTTATGTATTATTGCTGACTGACCACTGCGGCTTTGATTTAAAAGTGGGGTAAGCGAAGTCTAATACCATGACAAATACCATGATATAGAGTGAACAATGACACAGCAAGTACTGTAAGTAACGTTAGCTTAAGTTGTGGGTTAGCAATCGCCTTCCCATCTTTAAAGTCTATGAGAATAGTAGCCAGAGAGAAACTTTGACTTTCTTTTATCATGAACAATACAGTGTGTGCAATGTATTGCATGTTTACTTTCAATAAAGTAGCAATAAAGTCAACAGCAAGACATCCTTTAACTTTAGTTTTTGTTGAGCTAACCTACATTTCCTCATATATCCTCAATTCTTGGGGGAAGAGTGCTCCCTTACAGTTCAAAACATTGTTTTCTCAGTCAGCAGACAACACTTTCTGTTATGCTCCATTGCTTTCTAGTCATGACATTTCTTAATAGCACAGCATCAGGTCTTATTGAGCAGCAATTCATTCAAATCAGCTTAAGTCATTTAGTTATTGTTAATATTAAAACAGTAGGCTTAGTTATACCCTGCACTATTATGTATGAGAAGGTTTACATTTAACTGTTTCAGTTACATAAATCTTTTGTTTCAAACTCAGACAGCATTGTAGATGGTTTTCAGTAGTTTAGCAGCACTATCTTGGACAAATTGCAGCTTGATTTTGATTAGCCGATCTGACAACAGGTCTGTCAAGTACAGTATTTGTTAATGTTCCAGTGTTTCTAGAAGCTGTCAGCAGCAGTATTTACACAAACTGTCAGGAACAAGCTACCTTAGAACGGGTTAGGGAATAGGAATGAATAGGATTTTTTTTTTTTAACACAGGCAGTGTGAATTTCTTATATTAAAAATATAATGTTTTTTGGACAGAAAATTCAGACATTTGAATTATTGCTGCTTAGTGGGATTGGTCTATAGCAGCAGAACAAAGGGACTTAAAAGACGACCTTCCTACAGGACGAAGATGCCTCCTCTGCCACTGCTGCTGGCCACTTTATTATAAATCTGAGAGAGTAATTAGTTCAGCCAATCCTGGGCTGCTTATCAACGATATATCATTTCTTTAAATGCCAGCTTTGATCTTGTTCAAGACCACAGAGGAAGGCATAGCAGATCACTCACCTTTCACGACCAATTACACAAGTGTTCTTCTGTTTGATGCTCATTAGGCTGTGTTCTTAGCAGTGTGCAGTATGGAGGGGGTGTGTGTGTGTGTGTGTGTGTGTGTGTGTGTGTGTGTGTGCGTACACTACCTTTTTTCACTTTGGTTATCAAGTGTAGCTAATCAAAGGGATGTTTTAGGTCAAGGCCTAGGTTCTGTTTGATATGGGAGAGCAGTAATGATCAGAGAGAAGATGTGACTGGAACACCAACTGATTAAACTTGTTGTTCAAAAGCATTTAAATAGTTATATTTAATTCTGAATCACATCCAAAATATATTTTGAAATATGGTCATTAAAATGCATGGACTGGTGACCTGTCCAGGGTGTACCCTGCCTTTCGCCCAATGTCAGCTGGGATTGGCTCCAGCTCCCCTGCGACCCTGTACGCAGGATAAGCGAACCAAATCAGTGCTAAATTACAAAAGGCTATTTTAAGTGTATTCACGATAAATGTTGCCTTGTTCATATTGCCCAGGCTGTTTTGTTATGATTTTGAGCACAGAAGTCACAGCGCCTGCATTCCCTTTCTTCTTTCTTTCTTGTGAGATCCAAAAAATAATTTTTACACAGTTGTTATTATTTCGCTAGTCCCAAAATGTGCCAAAATACAACAGATTTTGTTTGAGAGAAACATCACCTTTTTATAAGATTATTAATTCAGGCCCTTTTTTGAGCAGCATACAGGGGAAATGAGACTCCCTCATTGTTATTTTTTATATTTATAAAAAAATACAAAATTTTGAATATCCATAAAACTTCACATTTCATGTAAATAGAGAGTGATTAGGTTCATCCAATATGAAAAATGCAGCGTAAGGAATAATGAGTGTGCCTTTCCTTTACAGATCAACCATTACACAGTTGTGTAATGTTGCTAGCATTGTTTTAAAATGACCTGCCGAAAAAATTAATTCAAGTGCCAGTGTTATTGACGTATGTAAGGCGGAGGATAGATCCAGGTTTGCCACTGGTCAGCAGTTATCCCCTTGAGGACAAAAATAGTCTTTTTGTCTCTGTAGCAAGTATTGTGTCATGGCAACGATGTCCCATTTCTATGGAAACACAACCTTAAATGTGTTTATGATTTGGATGCCATCGCTGCAGCTGGTGGTAGGTGTGTGTGCTTGCACTGAATTAGTACACACTGTAGTCCCTGTCATAAAGTCTGTTTGTTAGCAAAATATTGCAATGATGTACTGATGGATTTGGAATATGTTTGTTATGTATTTTTGATTTTCAAACTTAAAAAAGAAATTACATGTCATTTTATCTGATCTGATTTTTTGTCTTGTATATCTAGTAAAGTTGACTCATCCTGCAGTCCTGCAAACACATTTTAGAACTGAGTGGACTTACTCTAAATGCCTTGTTAAAGGGAACCACAAAAATATTATTTTACAGCTGATGGTCTCCAAACAACTACCGCTATTCTCCCTGCTTATCGTTTCTGGTTCAAGTCTGTCCTCATTATGTGGTAAAGGAAAAGCACAAAATAAGTAACCAGGGTCCTCTATTCACCGTGAACCAACGTCTCAATCTGCTTTTGAAACTGAGGAACACAGAATTGAAAAAAGAATGACATGCCTCTTAGCTTGTAGTGTACATAAGTTCAGTATAATCAAGTTTTAAAGTAATTGTAGTGTGACAGACTGACATATAAAAAGCTGTTATTACCCAATCCCTGGCATAACCTCAACAGTGTGGTCTCTAGTGTATGATGCAGTATTAGTGGAAGTACACAATTCGCAATTCAAATGCAGGCAATCTGTGAAATTTCTCCTGATTTTAAAATCTGTCAGTAAAAACAATTTGAGAGCATTCCCTCACTGGGGCATCTGTGTGGCAGGAGCAAAAAAGTAAACAAAGGGAAAAAAATCCTGTCTGAAATGTCAAGAAGGAAATGTACTTTGTTGCCAGCACCTGTTGATTTCACTCATCTAGCCATTTAGCTCAAATTTGCACAAGTACGCCTTTTAGTCA